GCAGGAGATTCGCTTGAGCCCAGGAGTTGGAGGTTGCTGTGAGCTGTGATGCCACAGCACTCTATCCAGGAGGACAGCTTGAGCTCTGTCTCAAAAAATAAAAAAATAAAAAACTCAGCCTTCTTGCAAACACCCACCTTCACCCCAACAGTTTGGCTGGAAGTTTGATCCATTATAATTACAGACCCAACTACCTCCAACACTGACAGGCAAAGGTTTTGGGTAGGTTATTAATGGAGGGGGACCTCTAACCTTCTTCACACCACTTAAGACTTGACGATTATAGGGAAGCTGCCATCCCCACCCACCTAATAGGACTGTTCTCATTTAGGCCACCACAGGCCACTTGTCCAGCAAGTTTAGTAATCTGCTTAATCCCATCTTAACTGGCTTTGCAACCTGACATATCACAAAGGCACTCTCCTCTGGCTCTGCCCTCACCTCTCTAATTGAACCTTCTCACCCATCAGTGGCAGGAGACAGACACCTCTTTAGTCCCCAGGGCTCTGTCTTCTTTCTCTGAACACTTCAGAGCTCCTGAGGTGGCTCCTTCACAAGCCTCTCACATGACTTGTGTATCCAACCCCAGACCCTCTGTCCTGCTCACTTGAGCCCTGCATCTCCGTTCAGAAGTCCTAAACCCAGCTCCATATTATCCCACAATTGCTGAGCACCCTGTGTCCACTCAGTCTTCCAATCTGGCAGTGCCAAGTCACCCTGAACCAGCCCTCCTTGGTCCCCATTTGTTCCTGAATTCCTTCACCGCTGCACCATTGGAGCCCTGGCTCAACCCTCACTGCCCAGTCTGCCAGCTGCGCTACCTGTACCCACCCCAGGCCCCCTGTAGTGCTGCCTGGGTCTAAGTCACACCTCTGAGCCAGGAGCCAGTCACTCTCCTGAGGAGACTCCCTAGCAGAGTCTTCCTGGCCCTACTGGACCAAGGCCAGGCTCCTCTGCACTGCAGAGTCTGCCCCTTCCCTCCCCATCCAGCTCCTCCCCGCAGAGTTGCAGTCTGTGTTCCAGCCTCGCTAAAGGGCCTGCTTCTGGAGTTTTCTGAGCCTTTTTTCACCTCCAGCCCTTTACACATGATGCTGCCATCTCTCCCACCTCCTCCTCCAGAACGCCTCCCAACAGCCCCACAGAGAGGGGCTCTTTCCCCCACAGCTGACCATTTTGGGAAGGCCTCTTCTCCAGCACTCTTGCAGCTGTGACCTGACTGTGAACCTAAGTCCTTCCCCAACCCTGGAGCCTCTCAGGCAGAGACTGACTGCCTTACCTCCCACGGTCCCAGCAGGGAGCAGCTGCCTAGTAAATAATGAATGAACACTCCTGCCAAAGCAACAGTGATTGTCAAGTGAATCATTTTTGGTGATTCCAGTCTGGAGCGTTGCAAAGAGATTATATATAGGTGGTTTCCCCTGCTCTATATCCTCATGACCTCATTTGGTCTGATCATGGCCATTAGACAGTTCTGCCTAAATCACCTGTGGAGCATTTTCTTGTTTTTCCAAAACCTTCATAATGAAATTCCAGTCCTTTAGCCTGACGTAAAGCCCTCAAAAACCTGTCCCCAAGCCTGCCTTCTTCATCTTCCATGCCGTGGAGCCTATTTCTAAGACACACATACTCACTTTTTGCCAAATGAATGAATGAATGAAAATACATGAATGAATGCTTCAGACATAGTGGAGATTCTTGCAAATGGAGTCCATTGCTTGGGGACAATCTCTCTTTTTTTTTTTTGAGACAGAGCCTCAAGCTGTCCCCCTAGGTAGAGTGCCATGGCATTTCAGCTCACAGCAACCTCCAACTCCTGGGCTCCAACGCGTCTCCTGCCTCAGTCTCCCAAGTAGCTGGGACCACAGGTGCCTGCCACAATGCCCAGCTATTTTTTGGTTGCAGCTGTCATTGTTGTTTGATGGGCCCAGCTGGATTCGAACCCGCCACCTTGGGTGTACGTGGCTGGCGCCTTAGCCACTTGAGCCACAGGCGCTGAGCCAACAATCTCTTTTAGAGCAAGGGGAGACACCATCAGGAGGCAAGGACCCAGGCTTAGAGGTGGACTGGGAAAGAAGACTCACACAGGTGGAGACAATTTTACAACAAAATTGAGGGCCTCCCTCCTGTCTTGGCTCTTAGGCACATAATTTTCAAGTTCTTAAGTGGGAGGAGACTGTAAATGGAAACTGAAAGGGCTGTTTCCCTACAAAGCTATGAACGCTGGTTTCAGAGCTGGCCTCCAGGGACCTGGGCATGCACTAGCTTAGGGTCCTCTGAGGCTCCAGGGTCAGCAGCAGGATCAGGTGAGAGGAGGCAGTGACTGAGCAACACAGGTAACACAAGGTAACACCCCAAGACATTCCTTGATGGGGCTGGAGGTTCTACTTAAGGCAGGGTGAGAGCAATCAATTTCTCAGAGTACCTTTCTGGTAAGAGAGGCCCAGGGAATGTTGGTGAAATGTACCTGAGGCTGCCAATTAGAGAGAGACTAGGCTCCCAGGGTCAGCCACACTCCCTCCTCCCCCTGCCTTCTTCAGCAGCTCATTTCTATGGCTTAGTTCAAAGTCTTCCTGGTTTGGCTTTCCCTGGACACCCAACTAGCAAGCAGCGCCTTCCTCTCCTACACTCTTGTACCTGCACACCCTGAGCCAGCCATTGGCTGGGCACTCAGCCACATCACTTTGTGGCTGGATGTACAATGGTTCGTTCACTTCCTACATGGCTGCAGGCACAGTATCTCCACACTCTTCCAAGCACACAGTGCCCTGGGTGGGCACAGCCAAGTGCTTATAAATATTTCTCGAATGAACGGTACCCCAGTGATTTGTAATAGTCTTCCAGAGTTCTGCACTGACTAGGCCTGTTCTAATCACTAGGCAAGCTAGTCTGAAGCAGCACCCTGGGGACTGATGGTTTGTTACTTGGCCATAAAACTTCTTGAGGAAAGGTACTTCTTACATTTCCAGGGAAGTGACCTAGGCCTTCACTCCTCAGAATGTAGGCCATGAACCAAGATGGCATCAGTGTCACTTTGGCTTCTTAGAAACACAGAGCCTCAGCCTCACCCCAAACCTAAAGAATCAGAATTTGCATTTTAATTGGCTTCCCCAGTGATTCATGCAAGTTCATATCTGGAAAGCCTGGCCCAGAGGAGAGTCTTGCTGGGAAGGTGGGAATTAAAAGGAGAGGTGAGGAGTGACCCACTGTACAGTTGCTGAGAGGACCAACTCCCACCCCTCTCCCAACTTAGATGGGGAAACTGAGTCCCCGAGAATCACAGTGGCTCACACCAGAGAGGTAATAGGACCACTTAACTACTGGGCTCTGGAGACTGATTTCCCAGGTGCTAATGTGTCTTCTAGCTGTGTGGCCTTGAGCGAGTTACTCTCCCTCTCTGCCTCAGCTTCCCCATCTGTACAGCCACCTCACAGGTGTGCATCTTTAATTACTGAGTAATCAGTACTGGTAAGAGTGTACACAATGCAATGCCCAGTGCATGCCGGGCACATGGCAAGGCTTCCATGAGCTGGCTCTTATCACTGCCGCCCAAGGTCACTTCTGCAGAAGAAAGTCCAGTGTCCAAAGTGCCTAGTAGAGGTAGGGCCAGAAGATATGCAGATGGTGGGCTGGGCTGCCAAAGAGTAAAACTCAGCATTCATTCATCACTAGTTCGTTCCTTTCAGAACAAGTATACAAGGATAAGCGCTTGTCCGGTAAGGTCTCTGGGTGTTTGGCAGTGAGGGAGAGAGCTGAGGCTGGGGGTGAGTTCCCGGGCACCGGCTCTAGTGCTAAGCCTGTGGGAGGAAGGCAACGAGTCCGTTATGGAGGGTCTTTCTCTGATCTGGCATTGGAGGCCTGGTCGGGAGCCTTCCCATGGCTCTCACTCTGGGCCACTGCGATGCATCACATGTCTTCACGCATCCTGGGCAACCGCGGGTGTGCCTGGCCGCAGCTGAGTATGCGCGCTTGGGGCATAAGTGCCCATCACACCTCGGCCCACCTTGACACCGTCGAGAGCCAGTGGCTGGCTCCTGAGCCCAGTGGTTCCGCATCTGAGTCCCCTCACCTAAGTCACCAGCACATGCAGTCTATCTGCGGCGGGTTCCGCAGCCCCACCCCACCCCACCCCGGCCTCCGCTCGCACCCGCCTCGCACTTGGTCCGACACAGAGCGCCTCTCCTGAGCGAGCAGTACCTCGTCTCCTTCCGCTCCATCCCTCGTAGCGGGCCGCACCTGGGATCTTCCGCGTTTCCCTGGCCCCACTTGCGTTCACTTGCCTTTCCACCCCGGCTCCCTCAGCGCACTTTCCCGCACGTGAGTTTGGCCGGGCCCTCCTTGCTTGAGGCAATGGTGCCTCAGAACAGAGCCTCTGCCCCCACGGCTCCCCTCCGTCTCGTCCTAGTCGCACCCGCGCTTCCCGGACGGTGCTCAGCTGCTAAGAGCTAATTAGCCTCGCGGATCCCCAATCTTTCTCCGTTTCTACCCTTTGCTCAGCTACATTCTCAACAAAGACCAGGCACCGGCCTGGCTGGGGAGCAGTGACCAGAGAAGCCCTAGGCTTCCTGCAAACGCCCCACAGACGCCCGTCCCTGCCAAGCAGGGTGGGGAGCTCGGGCGCTGCTCGGGGAAGATCAACGGGTTCCGGAAAGCGGAGCAGGAAAACGCACTTCATTGCTTCTTCCATCTGCCTTTTCATGGGAGAGAGATAAACTTGAACTTCCAAGTACCTGGGGGCACTTCCTTGGGCCCCTTTAGGATGTTGTTTAAAGGGACAGCCAACCCGGACGCTCAGGTGGAAACCGACCGACCAGAAGTGAAACCGCGTGAGTCAGCGCGCCGGGTGAGCCGGCCGCCCCACAAGGCGCCGCCCCTGGGCCACCGACCCGGTCCCGCTGGCAGCCGTGGGGCGCGGCGGGGGCGGAGTCGCTGCGGGCCGACCTCGCTCACTTCCCGGGGCCGGGCCGGCCTGGACGGCGCGGCGGGCTACCCTGGGCCATGGCTGACGGGACAGCAGAGCCGGGGGCCGAACTGCGGGACGTGACGGCGTTCCGAGACTCCAGCGCGCCGCGGCCCTACGGCTACGGACCGGGCAGCCTGCAGGAGCTGCGGGCACGTGAGTTCAGCCGCCTGGCAGGTGAGGAGGGCGGGCAGATTGCTCGGGTGCGCGCAGTTCCTGGAACCGACTTGGAAGAAGCTTCAGGTGGAAGCGGTGCTACCTCACTTGGGGCGCATCTTGAATCGAAGGACCAGGAGGGACATGTCCATGCGTCCGCTTTGTGGACGCAGCTCCCCGAGGTCCCACCCAAGACTTCTACTTTCCCTCCTTAGACTTTCCAGCCGGGCAGGGCCAGTCTAGCTTTTTTCGCCTTTCCAGGCTCTCAGCAAACAGGGTAAACCTAAGGGATTCTCCTTGACCTCGCTTGCTGGGAGATCCCTGTCGTAAACGCTCAACGGGATCCGGGGTTGCACAATGCAGGGCGTTTAGCGCCAGTAACTGCTCGCCGTCCTCCTGGGGACGGGAACGACGCGGGGGCGGCAGGCTCGCTGGGATGGGACTAAGAGGCTGCCCCGGCCTCCCGAGGCTGCGCCTCAGACAAGTCTGGGATAGACCACATGCAGCTTTTATTTTCGAAATCTCATTCTCGTGCCTGCAGAGTCAGAACAATGCCTCTGACTTCTAGCTCTGTGGGAGACTGGAGGTGTTCCCAAACCTTGCAGTTTGACCTTTAAGAACAGGGGACTGACGGACGGCACACTGCGCCTTTGAGTTCCTCCGGGCAGAATGGGTTGATTAAATTGGACGTCAAGCTCCATCTGGCCTTGGCCGACCTGGCTTTCCGTTGTCCGGTGCCAGAGACCTTGAGTGCGGAGGCTTTCAAGCCTCAAAACCTCGTGACGCATGGTCAGCGAGGGTCCTCAGGTGAAGCGGGGGCGGGTAGTGGCGCAGGGTACCCCGGCTTGCGTGTATTTGTCGTGATGAACAATTGGTGATTGCTACTCTCGGGTAGACGGCAACCATGACTTACGTTTCATTAATCGGGTAGCTGATTTCAGCAAATTGGGACATTTCCTCATGTTCCGGATAACAACTTTTCTCCTGTAGGGACAGAGCGGGGCTGTGAGGAGTGTAGGCCTCCTTGTGGGTCTCTCTTTTCTTCCTAGGTAGGGATATTTGGGGAGGGAGCGGGGCCTTCTGCCAGCCTCATCCTATTCCCACCCGGTTCTTCACCATCACTGGGTGACGTGCTGGAGACAGCCCCTCACCCCTCTGCTTCTACGGTCTCTGTTTCTCTCTCTGAATTGTCAATTATGGAAATTTCCTGCCACATAGAAATAGACGGATACTATGAACACCCACAGGTGCAGAGAGAGGGAGGCTCTCCATTCTTTGAAGCAAATCCCAGAAGCTTTCTGGTTCATGTTGGGTCATAATTACTTTGCCACCACACCTCCTTAATCCTCTGAATCCCCTCCAGCTCTGATCCCTCACTCCCACTATGGGCCGGCCTCTCCCCTCAACACTACCCTGGGAAAGGAGAGGTGTGCTCTGGACCCCTCCTGGTTTCACTCTTGTTCCTGGGAGAATAGTACCTTTTCCCTCAAATGCAAAGTTGATACGTGATAGCCAAGATCCTTTGGTATTTGTGGCAGTGTTGTGAGCATCCTTTATTTATGCAGTGCAAGTTACCAGTATTCCCGCTGCTACATTATGATTAAAGCAGACTTTTGTGGGCTAAACCGACACCCCTCCCACAGCTGGAGGTCTTGGAACATACCCACTTTTTTTCTCAGGGGAACAAATGAACCAGAGAGGGCAGGGAAAAAAACAAATCAACCAAACCAAAATAATAAAAATTTCTCCTCTCCCTTGTCCTACCCTTCTGGAATTTTTCTGCTGGTTTGAGAATTTATGTGCTAACTCTGGATAATTAAATGCTTAACCTTTAAGTGCTGGAATGTTTCACCTGATCATTTGTGTGGGAATGTCCTTGCCTTGGTGAAGGGAGACCAATGAATGTATAGAAGTGGTTAAGTGGCTTGTGAAGCTTTAGGGTGCTGACTGATGACTTCTCAAAACCTGCCTGGAACTGAGAACTGAAGGGGTGTGACTCAGAGCAGATCCTGGAATTCTCTTTCTTAAAGTAGATCTAATACCAGTTGGCTTTGAGGTCATTCACCTGCCTCTAATAATAGCTCAACTTGTGTAATAGTTACTATGTGCCAGGAACTGGCCTAGATGCTGGAATATTTAATCATTTAGTACTCACCCCATTTCCAGATGAAGGAATGGGGGTCCGGAATGGCTAGTGGTGGAACCAGGATTCGAGCCACATTGATTGGCTTGGGTTCTGCACTGTTAATTGCTAGGCTGCCTGTTCTTCTCCTAAGAGCCAATCCCTTGCTGATGTAACACAGTTGCCTTTGGGGGGTGGGGGAGGGTCTTGCTCTGTCTCCTGGGTATCATCATAGCTCACTGCAACCTCAAACTCATGGGCTCAAGTGATTGACCCTCCTGCCTCAGCCTCTCAAAGTGCTAGGATTATAGGTATGAGCCATTGCACCTGCCCCTGGCCCTCCCAGTTAACTAGTGAGCCAAAACAGCTGTCCCCAGTCGCTTCCTGGTCCTGCAGCAGACTATGGGCAGGGTGAAAGGTGGTCCCTAGCACGTTCTCAGGTCTCACCAGTGTAGTGGTTTCACATGAGCAGGCCTTGATGTCTGGATGAACAAAAGCCTGTGATATCTTTATACAGGTACTTCTAAATCTTCAGTAAAAGAGAAAAAAAATTTTTTTAATTTTTTTTATTGAGCAATAATAATAATAATGCAAAAAAGTAACATTCACATTGTCAGTGAAATCTTCAGTAAAAGAGAAAAAAAATTTTTTTAATTTTTTTTATTGA